AAATCTCAAGAACACACAAATACAAACTTTAATATATTTGAATGATATCTCATCTGACTGACAAATACCAGTGTGAATAGGTGACTTCTGAAGACAGTTGTAGGATGACAGCACATTGCGCACCGTATTTTGACAATTTAGTCTAACAATATATACATTTCTTTCTATTTGATAATAAAGCTTTTGTGCTGCTCTTTTGGCCCCCCCCCCAAAAAGTAAAGCATATCTTCACCCATTGAGTCAACTGTCTAATCAGTACCAGTGCGTCTCACTTAACATTGCACATAGCCGTGTGTTTGGGTTTGCACAAATGCTTTCTGTTGACAACCACTTGACAGGACGACCCGTGTTTTTTTTATAAGAGGATGGTGGAGGCAGAGAACAAACACTGAGTGCGTTTAAAGGGAAGAGAAGGGTATCAGGAGCAGCCGGAGTTCAAAGACATCGCGCGTGAGTCTTGCCCCCCACCAAAACTAATCTCATCAGTCTTCCACCACTGATAGAGTAAACGTTTCTCTGTCCAGTCGACAAGGACCGAGCATTTCCTGTCCCGGTCTGTGATGCTCGTTGTCAGGATCTTAAGGATTGCAGAGCAAAGTCTAGGGTTAGACACAGTTAGTAGGTGGTAACTCCGCATTGTGGGTGGCGGAGGTCATAGTGCTGATGGTAGGATGGTTTCTAGCTTTCAGCACATGCAGCTGGAATGCACTATCGGTGGAGGACCCACATCAGAGCTGTGAGGCTCTGGGCGTCGACACAGCAGAGTAAGGTGTGTGGAAACAGGCTGTTTACAACGCTCATCTGGATGGGACGGAGCAAAGGGTCGTGTAAAGGGGATAGATTAACGTAAAAACGGGCACCATGGAAAGATGAGAGAATCTAATTAGAGGGATGTGAACAAATACTGTGCCTTCAAAAGGTATTCTTACATCATGAACAAATATTCAGATTTTCTCACATTAAAACCCAAAGCTTTGATGTATTTTGTTGAAAATGACAAACATAAACTAGCTTGTAACTGTGAAGACAGAAGGAAAGAAAGAGGGCCAAAAGGACAATGGTTCACAACAGCTATTAGTTGTGCACCTCTTTTCTTCTTCTTTTGAAAGAAAGTGGCAAAAAGTTTGTCACAACTCATGTAAGGGACACAACAAACACATAGAAGCATTTGTTAGTGAGACACTGATGTTAGATCTGCTCAAAAGGACAATAAGCAGTTAAACATTTGTGAATTAAGGGCTGGTAAAAGCAGCCATACCAGTGCTTTTGTATGTCCTTGCTAGCACTGAGGTAGAGGGTGATTGAGAAAATGAACAGCTAAAATAATACTGTGGTGCGTGGGGGCCTTTCCTTATCTGGATGAATGGCCAGGGCTCTAATCCCTGTGCTCTCTGGTTTTATCAGGAGGGAAGGAAGTGAGCGGGCTTATCCAAGACACACGTGTCGGGGTGATAGCTGCCAGGCCGGAGCAGGACAAAACACACACCAGCCACGGCAAAGCAACTCCGAGGAATTCACTTCAGCTCTTTGGAAGGAGTCACCGATGAGTCAATCTGGAACTGATGTGACTTTTTCTGGTGATGTTGTCATGAGCTGATTGCAGTTGGAGTTTGTGGGAAAAAACTGGTGCTAGTCACTACAGGATGAATTTGGTTGTGTATTTTCTTTTCCTAAGGGGTGTTAATTAAATATCTGCTTGTGCCGGATGTTGGTTACTGAATGCCTAAAGAAATATTTGCATTCTGGGTTTTGACTCTTGATGCCAAAGAAATCTAAGTTATGGAAATTATTTAACTTGAGGCAAACCACAGCAAAATTTAAGCAAACACTACTTTGATTGTTATTTGTTGGTTATGATTGATGCTTAAGACTTTGAGTACTGAGTACCTTTAGTTGATTATTTTGCAATCTATTTCATATAGTTTCCCAGCTCTCTCTGTTTTCCATTAGTATTTATTTTTACCGTTTGTAGCTTCACTCCCTTACTTCCAGGCCCACCATGCCCCACAGCTGCAGCTCAATCAAGTAATCACACTCGCCTGTTCTTCACTCCATTATTCTTAGCTGTGTTCCAGTTACCAGTTAAGTTGGAACTTGGAGCTGGGTTTGACATCAGACCCAAGGTAAAAGAGTTCCAGTTTAGAACTTGGTATTTCAAAATGACAACGCCCATAGCCATTGTTTGCAGTAGCTCTTACCAACACCATTTTAAGCTTTACTTTCCGTAAGCAAACACTACTTTTAATTTGTTCAGTTTAGAGTTGCAGGTGCTACATGTAACATTGATTGTAGACGAACTCTTACATGTTTGTCTTTTAAAATAAACATTTTTCTGCCACAGTGAAACACAAAGTTGGCCTTCCATGCTGTGACTGGGGGTAGTCAGAGGTGCTCCCACTTTCCCAGTGGAAAATACAACTTGGTTACGTGATCCGGTTAATTTTTCCTACTGGGAAGTTGGAATTTCCCAGTTCCAAGTTGAATCCATTCCAGAATCAGATTCCCTGTTCTCATCCACTTCTGTAATTCCTGTTATTCCAGTTATGTTCCTATTCATTCAGTTTCTCTTTCACAGTATTGGTCATATTTTGNTATTTAAAACTGCCGGGGAAAAATTTTTTTTTTCCCTTTTTTTTTTTTTTTTTTTTTTTTTTTTTTACACTTTTCACGTGCAAACAGAAAATTAGAGTTTATTTGTTTTGGCCGTTATCACAATGCGCCAATGCAAAGAAATGCAAATCTAGACAGTAAAAGGAAACGGACAGACGGTATTAAAATTATTTTGCAAATCAAGGTCTTATCAGTTTGGCACAAACGTTTGCTCATTCTCAAGAGCATGGAGGCAAACTATGCAGAAGAGTTTTTGGTAAAATAATATAACATTTATCTTGAAACAGTTTAGATTTTTTAAAAATAACTGAAAGCATTTTAAAGATGAGAGGGACTGATCTGCTCTTCATTTTATTCTAGGTTAGGTCATTATTTACATATGAAAAGCACTCCAAAATATGAACAATTCAATAAAAAATAATTTTAAAAATAAGCTAAGATAAATTTATGGAAGTTGAATATAATTTAAAAAAATATTTTAAAAATAATTTAAATCTTATTTAAATGTTCATTATTTTAATTAAAATTTGATGTACAAAGTTCTCAGCTTCTGTTTTAAAGAGCAGCTCTCTTTAAAACGATGGGAAAAGAAGTGAATCCCACAATTAGGTAGTCTCTGGTAAAATGACATTTAAAGCATGGTGGTGGCAGCATTATTCTGTGATGATGCTTATTTTAGTTTCTTGAAGAATTGAGCCAAACACAGGGCAGTCCTGGATTGAAATACTGTTTGAGGTTGGGGAACAAAAGATAATTAAATCTTTAGCAAAGTCGGATATAATAACAAGATGGCTTTAAGATGAAACCTAAAAATAACCCTCAACCAACATAGTGACATAGGAGACGTGTGTTTGTCTGTTGGGTCCAATCAGGAGTCTTGCTGAATAAGTTTTTACCATGTGGAATCTGCATCACAGGTAAAAAGTACATTACAGTGATCTAAAGACGAAGAAATAATATAAAAATAAATATCACCTGTCTGTCACAGAACAGTAATCTGGCAAATACTATGTAGTTTTATCCTAGTGAATTCCTATTTGACTTTGATTAAAAATCAGATAAAGGTTAGGGAGGCATAATACGGATAAATTCAATTAATTCAGTTGGATTCAAAATGGCTACATCTATCAAAGAATCTGTTGTTCATCTTTGTAAAAAAATAAAAACAACCAAATCCAAATCATTCTCGGACCCCAAAGAATTGCAGAAAACTTTCAGAATAAAGACCTTTATCAGTGTTTGTGCTAGGAATGAAACATTCATGAAGCAGAAAAGGTGATCACGAGCGCCGCTCTTACGACAGACATGAGCTCAAATTTTCCTCTAGAGGCGTTCATGGCCGTCAGGACGTTCCTGAAGCTTCTCACATGTTGACCAGACAGGAAACTTACTGGATGAGGTTGGTTTTGTAGGTGATTTCTCAGTAAACATCCAAGTGCAAATGTCTCAACATGTACAGTTGGTAAGCGAATAGCTTCCCATCGGTCAAAAGACTGCAAGAACAAAGAAAGGAAGTCCATTAGTCTTGTATTTATGCATTGCAGCACTCACTTTAAACAAATTTTGTTTTTAATAACTCATTCCATTGAATTTTTGAAACATTTAAGCATTTTAAATGGTGTTCTTAGGCTTGTGTGTTTCATCATTTTCTCCGTCAACTGTCAGTGTGTTTTTTTTTCTTTTCTTTTTTTTTTTTTTTCCATGTCTGATTTAAGCCTTTTCCTGGCAGACCAGCGTGGGGGTTTGGCATGCATCCAGACGGAGCTTTGTAAGGAATGGAAAGCGGTTGAATAGACTGCAGCCTACTCCTTAAATTAAACCTAAGAGGAAACAAACCTGTGTAACCTGTATATGCAAGAATATTTCTTAGGAACAGAAGTGATGCTTTTTGTGTATATATTGATTTTAATCAGGTTACCCGAGTACTGCTTTTGCTTTTTAAAGCCATTAACTCTGCCTCTTCCACCACTTTACGTTTCAAATTATGATGACTTCAGCAGTGCCTGGCAAAAGTATTTATTTGTCTTTCTTTTTTTTAAATACTTTTCATGTTTTTCCTGTTTGCAAACAGAAAACTAGAGTTTATGTTTTTGACCGTTATCGCAATACGCCAATGCAAAGAAATGCAAATCTATGCAGTGAAAGGGAACGAACACACGATATTAAAATATTTTTGCAAATTAAGATCTGATCAGTGTGGCATGCATTTGTATTCTGCTCCTTTTACTCAGACACCCCGAGGAAAAACAACCAGTTTGCAAATAGAGCCCACATGTCTTGGCTGTAATTAAAAACAACACAGCACTTTTTTCAGATTAAAAAAAAAAAAATCTAAAAAAATAACTTTCTCACCATCTTTTCATAATTATGCATTCTTTGGGTAACATTTTCTTTATCTCAGGATTGCATTAACACTGATGTCTCTGCTGTTTTCCTCTCCTACAGATCGCCGCCATCTCGCCCTTCCCTCTGAGGATGTTTAGCTTGTTGTCACCATAGTGCAGAAGACATCACATCAACATAAACAGACGGTGGACAATTATGCCGCGCTTACTCAACATCCCCACCTCAAAGCCCAACTGTGGCTCGGTCTGGGTCGCCTTTGTTCTGCTTGGCATCTCGGCTCTAAACACTCAAGCTAAAATTGGTATGTGCAATACCAATCGCCGCCAGCTTCGAAGTTCTTGTTAATGAGTCTTTCTTCACAAAAAACAAAAACAAAACAAAAACAAAAAAAAAAAGGAAATACTTGTTTTAATTATGTTTTGTTTTATTTTCCTTCCTAGTCCTAACTGTACCACAGCAAGTGAGGCTTTCACCCAACTTTTTCACTCAACAACTAACTATTTCCTGGTTTGGAGGAGAGGCCACGACCTTTGACCTCATCATTTTGAGAACCGAATTCAACGAAACTGTCTTTTATGTAAGGATATTTCTTTCTTCAAATTCATAAACCAAAACCTTTTTTTTTTTTAAACTTAAACGTAATCGATTATATGTAGACTTAGAGTCAAGAAGTCTAGATGTAATGGAACTTGACAAAAAAAAAAGGCAAAATAAAATGCACAAAGCTTATTTTCTTTTCATTGATGAATTAGAACCTAACTTTGTCATTGTTGAGTATAAAATCTAAACGTTTAATTATATTTGTGTGTAACTGTCTCAACTTGTGTACAAGCTACAGGAAAATATCCTGAAATTTTCAGTTTAGAAAAATAGGAAGGGTTTAAATGGAAAATCTTTTTAGAACGCATGAGCAATATTTCAAAGTTTGCTTAAATTTCTGCTTGAGCTGCAACATTCGCCTGGAATCTCACACCATTTCCAGGATGTTGTCTTATTCACTCTGCTTTCTCTGTGTTTCTGCAGAACACAGTCCCAGCAGTAGTGAACCAGGATGGCGGTCGGCACCAATGGACCTGGACTTCAGTTGAACCTCTGGAGTGCACATCTTTATCAGTCAAAATCCGCTCAAGAGATGGAATAACAAAAAGTGAATGGAGTGAACCTCAGATCCTGGAAGGTCAGTTGGAAATGTATTTTTCTCAAATATAATTCCTTATTGGAGAACCTTTGGACTGCTTTCTTATCTGGTTGTTTAGTTTTACCATAAATTTGGCAACAACTCAATCCTGTCTTTTGTCCTAATCCGTTGTTGTCATTTCTTCATCTCTTTTGCTTTGCAGGAAGGGATCTCCCGAGCAACAGTGGTCATCAGATGTATCCTCAAGACAGAGTTGTGCCTGTAGGGGCCAACACAACCTTCTGTTGTATTGTGGAGGAGGGAAAGGAGTTTAGAGAACTTCTCTACGGCTCGACAAAAATGAACGTGAAACGTTTGAGTCGACGAAGTTATGCCACCACCGCTGTTAACCAGAACTTATCTGGAAGAACTGGGACGAATGTTATTTGCCGTTTCAAGGACCTGTACAAACTGGCAGGATCAGTCGTCTTTGTCGGATGTAAGATGTGTGGATGAATGGTTGATGAATCATTTAACTTATTGCATAAATAGTTGGAAAGTGGGATTATTTGAAAGCTTTGAGCATGATGGGAACTGGATCCTAAATTTATACCGTAGTGTGTTAGACCTGGTTTGGTTTTAACCTCCCATGGTTCTGGCGCGACACTCAGGAAGAGCGCAGCGGCGTCACCGTCGGCTGGGTGGAGGTGGAGTTGTTCCCGTCAGCCTGTCAGTTCCTGAAATCACATGCAAATTAAAAACTTGTAAAAGCACAGGCCGGGTCTGTGTGACCCCGTCTTTTAAGACCGTGAGAGGGTTGAACAGTCAGACCAGGAACAGATAAACGTAATCTGCAAATGTGTGGTGCGACAGTTATTGCAAAGGGAGGAAATGCAGTTAATTTGTTTTACAACCTTAGAACAAAGTATGTGCTTTAATACCAACAATGCCAATCAATGCAGCCGAAGAAAAAGCAGGATTTGACACAGACATTAAGAATCTCATTTTAAGGGAGACCTGGTAATAATGGGCAGCAGCATAAAACAAAACGTTTACAAACATATACAAATAGCATCCACAAAAAAATAAAAAAAAACATACATTGCACTAAATTAGTATGTGATCTTTTTATGCTCATTTCAAGTTTCATACCAAATACATGTAATGAAATGCTTGTTACTGCCAACTAGATATTGGGATATGAATTTTATGCCATATCGCACATCCATGATGCTATCCAATATAAGTAGATCGGTGTTAATCTTCATAAATCTGGATATGCCTACCACCATTTTCCAATCTAAATTTACTTTTTAGAGTTTTTAAAGTGAATGTGTCACTGCAACAAACACAATTGATTCCAAGGATTTGTTTTATGCACCTTTAATAGAGCCCCCAGTACTTGTGATGGTCTCATTTTGATTTGTTTTTCATAAGAAAGCTTTAGAGTAGTTCTAATGATGCTTGCATAATAATAATGCTTATGATGGTTGTAATACAGCATCTCAGTTTTTAATGCTGTCCCCATTTCCAGATCCACCTCTACCCACCAACTTTGAGTGCATAACTCATGACTTGACCTCAGCTGTGTGTTCCTGGGATAGAGGACGAGACACCAACCTGTATGGCAAGAGAAAAACCAGATACTCCATAAATAAGAGGTATGTAGTCACCCTAGCAAAGTAAATACTTGCAAAAAGATTTCCACTTGGCCATAAACTACTGCATAGCACAGCTGCACACACTTAGAGGACGAAACTTTCACCATTACCAAATGGAAACTTAACCAGTTGCAAAATTCCACATAATTCCTGCACAACATGGCAAGAATAATTTGGAGAGCATCGCTTCAGCCTTTATATAGCAGCCTATGCTTAAATTACATAAATATGTGAATCTCACAATCGATCATAATCTACCAAACAATCTGAAGGATGAGATATTTACTCCTCTACAGAGTTATGGTAAAAATTGCACTTAAAAGAAGAAGCAATTTTTATTTTCTTAGAATGAGTGTTTGCACAGATGGATTAAAAAAATCAAGATGGAAAATCAGCATTTGTCTGAAATGTATAGAAGAACAATGAAGTCTAACATCAGCAAGTAAGGATTTAAATGGGTGAACATTTACCAGGTACTGACTTAGAAAAGATTAAACATCAATTTACAGATTACTTATCAGTTCACAGATGGCGGCCATTAAGAGCTCTGCAGCTCCCTGTCTCTCAGAAAGAAGATGGTTATAATTTTTTGGCATAATTCAGGGTTTTAATTTGATGTAATCTGTTGAGAGACATTCTTTAGCTCGAAAGTTTTCTTATCTGCACTTGCATAAAAAGAAATAAAATGGGCTACTGAGAACACAATAAAAAGTAAAACAAAAAACAGTCCAATCGTGAACATAATAAATAAATATACTGAGCAATCTACAAATCTAAATAAAAATCGCATACAGAAAAAACAAGGAACTGTGTAATCTGTGTTTTTTACTTTAAGGGTTACATTTCTAAGATGGGAAAATCATATTAGTCATCCAGTTCTGTTGGATATGAGCAGATTTATTATTTTGTCACAATATGTAGTATTCATTTTGAGGGTGTGGTGGACCACTAGAGGACTCTGCTCACACCCAGACTACAGGATGTTAAGGTTTATAGATATGCGTGTTTGGACCTTTTTTGCACTGTTGTTCTAAGATGGAGTTGAGTGAACGAGAGGATTCAAGTTGGCTCCTGTGTCATCTCCCTTACTACTCCACAGGGGCAAGAAAAGTCACAATAATAAACATTACAGAAACCATCTGTCGTCTTTTCTGTAATTGCCTTCATGGAATCAACATCGAAAAGAGCTTAAAGAGCAAAACAATTTAGGCTCTAGCATCAGTTTTTTTTTTTTTGCAAAAGGCATTAATGCTGATTGAAACATCAATATGTCAGTAAGTCATTAATGATGATTTCCAGGCAGTGTCTTTGTTTTTTATTCTGTCGCTTACCATCCGAGATAATAATTCTGAGCTGTTAATAGTTGAATCTTCTCCAAAAAATATTTTTCTCTAGAAAGAAATAACAAAAAAAGGGAGATAAAAACTATAAAGCACTTAGGCTAAGTAACAACTTACTACCCCATGTCTGCCTAATGGTGGGTTGGCTCTCATCCAGACATTCTGCAGAAATCTTTTGAAAGCTGGCCAAAATGTCCTTTATTTTTGATCTACCACATCACTTCATAAGTCTTTGCTTATTTTTGCTTTTTGAGCTGCTTATGTAGATAGATGCACAATGCTTTAAAAAACAACAACAAACAAAAAAACAACAAACAAAAAACAAAAAAAAAAAGATTATTTCATTACATTTTTGGCCCATGGACCAGATCAGGGTTTTAAACTGGAACCTCTGGATCTTAAAAAAACAAAACATTTGGTTTAAATGTGTCGAACAAAACATTCTGTCTGCTGTTTTGTTCATGAATATTTGCAAACAAAGTAAAATGAGAATCCCGCCCAGGTGTTATGAATTTGGAAATGGTGTACACGTTTAGATGCCAAAATCGTAAATCCCAAATAAATTGTTTCGTGAATGTCACAAAAAATTTCTAAAAGTTTGGTGAGATAACGGATTTTTAAAAATGTATAGGAAACTTGTCTGATCTGCTTTTAATTAAATACTGTTGTTGTTGTGTCATTATCTCTGTAGGGACTGTGAGGTCAGCAAGTGTGTGCTGCCTCAGTGGGACGGTAACTGGACTCTGGTGGCTGTTAATCCCCTTGGCCAGTACAGTCTGACTTACTCAGCTGAACTTCTTCACAGAGGTAGGTGACTCGACCTTACTCTTCACCAGTACGTCTGGTATACACTTCTGTTGATCTAGTTCCCGCAATAAGATTGGTGAAGACGCAGAATCTGTATTTTTCATAAAAACTTCTGCTACTCATCAGCTCATGTATTGTTTCTCTGTTGCCCGCAGTGGTGCCAGTAGCACCGGATAAGCTGGCTGGCACTACCCATCCCTGGAATGCCACTGTGCAGTGGCAGTGGCCATACGATAGCTATTCCACCCTGGCTCTTGTCTGCCAGGTGGAACTAGCCAGCCGCAATATAGTAAGTTATTTCTAAAAGTTTTTTTTTTTTTTTTTTTTTTTAAAATCCAAAACTTGAAAATATAATTTTTTAGGGTTTAAACCCTTAAATACATCCAGATTTCCTATATTACGTTTTAAATTGCATTTAGTTGCATCAATAATTTTGTTCTTCATTGATTTATTTTCTCCTGAGAAAGGCACCAGGACAAAACTGAACGACCCTTTACGGGGGAAACTCCACAAATTTTTAAAACTTTTAAATCAAAATATTATCCTGCCAGCTTCATTATCATGGAAGAATGTTCTGCATGTATTCAGTCTTTATCAGGGAATAGTTATTGTAATGAAAAAACGTGGGAAGGAAACCCTATGTAGTGCACTAGAAATTCTCAAACAGATCTTTATTAATTTTAAATCTTATAGCACAAACAGCTTGATGCCATTTGTATGACACCATATTTGGTGACTATGATGTTTTTATGATGAAAGCACTTTGAAATGCCTTTTTGCTGAAATGTGCTATACAAATAAACTTGACTTTAACATGACTTATTCTTTCCTTCCTCTGCAAAATCTGAATAAATACTCATCATTCATAAAGTGGATGCCCAACATTACTTCTATCTCTAAATCGTTCAAAGCAGTTGGAAATGTTTAATGTTTTCCTGCCAAAGCATCACTACGATTTGAGCTATTGATTTTCCACTGAAATGCTCATTGCAAAAATATTTATGGCTAATATTATCTTGGTGCACTTGAGTGGGATTGGGCAAGGTGGTAGAGTTCTGAGTAGGCCTGTCACGATTAACGATAAATCAATTGATCGCACGACAAATTAAACCCATCTACCTCATTGTAATTATCAGCTTTGTCGTCTCTTCCTGCCTCTTTTCATTCTATTGATGACAATGAATGAAAAAAGGTTCAACTCCAGTGCTCTCCACTGACCCTCCCTTCCTATTTCCTTAGTGTAATGTCCAGCGCACACTACATGAGTTGTCGGCCGATTGTCGGCCCATTTTCAAAACCTGAGAGACACATTAGTCGACAGAAATCCTAGGTACAACTGTTCGATCGGGTTCGATCGTGCCGTGTCCAACAATGGGCACAAAATAATGGCTGCAAGTCCAGTTAACTAATTTTAATATCAGGCATTAATCAATGCTTTACTAGAATCTGCCTGCAATGCATGGAGTCAGCGTAAAGTCCTGACTGAATGAAAATCATTATAACCTATTTATGTCACTTTAACTCAGAACAGCTGAAAATTTACCGGGTTTATCAACTGCGGTTGCAATTTGGCTCCACCTCCTCTCCTTGTCATTTCTATATTCTTTGCACAAAATGTTGAATAAACATTTATGTTGTTTCCACATATCATCTCCGATGTCCGCTGGACTTCGGGTTGCGCCGTGTCAGCTGTTTGGGATTCCCTTCATAATTTTAAATCGGTGTCAAAAGGTCTTGGAACAATATTATCGTTTATTGTACAAATTTTTTTAGACAATTAATCGCTCGGCAAAATTTGTTATCGTGACAGGCCTAGTTCTGAACTAGGTTAAGTTCATAAATAGAAAACCTCATTTAAATTATTTTTCTTGAGTAATAAAATATAGTTTTGATAATCGTATTTTTTTGTATTTCCTGTAGCTTAATGTCTCAGGTGTGGGTGTCCGTTCTGTTTTCCTGCCTCACCTCCACCCCAACACCAAGTACAGGGTTCGAGTCCGCTGTGCATCCCAGAATCACTTCTTTAAGTGGGGCAACTGGAGCAAAGAATTTCACTTCACAACCAGATCATCTGGTAAGAGTTTTAATTTTCATTGGTGTTTGTGAATGAATGTTATCGTAAGGGAAGGCACCTGATCTGATTGTAGTTTATGTATTTATTTAAGGGTCTTTATAAAGGCATAAAGACCATTATTGTTATTAATAAAGGGTTCTGTTCCATTCATTTGTTTTTGGCAGAAATTTGAGTTTCAGGAATAGTGTAATTATTTACCTTTTTTTTTCCCCTTCTGTTTTTAGCTCCTGAAGCCCCCGATGTGTGGATGTGGATGAACAGAGACAACACTGTACGGGTTATGTGGAAGGTGAAGTCCTTTTCTTCAAAATCTTTCATTTTTTCTTATTACAATATGCAGCATTTACATTTAGGTAACAAGTATTACCCTAACTCTCTACATTAGTCTTCTTTCACATACAGAAGTTTCTTATTTTCAACTTCAACATGAAAATAATCTTTCTTCATTTTGCTCTCGTTTTTTTTTTTTTTTAGCCTCTGACGCAATGGCAGAGCCACGGTGTGCTCACTGGATACCAAGTTACTCTCTGGAACCTTGAAGAAAATGAAAAACAAACCAGTAATTTATCTCCAAAAGATAATTCTTTGAACCTCACAGGTTGGGCTTCAATCACCGGTGATAAGAAAGCCATTGCAACAGTAAAGGCAAAGAATACGAAGGGGATGTCTCAACCTTCAAGCATAATGTTAGGTGTAATAGGTATGTGTGGAGAGGGGGTGAATATGTGGCTTATTTCGCCAAACAAGCCTGTGTTTTGTGGGCCGTGAAAACAAAGACATGCAGGAAAAGAAGAGACGTCTGCTACTTTACTGAAAGCTTTACTTCTCATTTTCAGATGACAAGTCCGTTCCTTTGGCTCGCACAATTTACAGCAGCAGTGGTTTCCCTTTGAGCTGGCAGCACGATGACAACAGAACATGCAGTTATTTGGTTGAGTGGTGTGAGGCCGTGTGCACGCCAGACTGCACTGTGGACTGGATCAGACTGGACGCTGGAAGCACTCATGTCTCCATTAAAGATTCTATCGGTATTCAGGCTTATGAATGACTCTTCCAGGTCAAATTTAAAAGCCATTATTAGGATTTTTTTTTTTTTTTTTTACTGTAAATTTAGGGTAAAATATTTCAGATTTTATTGTATAATATGCTGCACAATGTATAATATTGAATTTATATCTTTTTATGTTTTTGGTCATCAGTTAAATTCCAGCCAGGTGTGAGATACAACTTCTCCCTCTATGAGTGCCCATCAACTTCCCCAGTACTAATACAGCGCTGGCAAGGATATATTCAGGAGCTGCGTAAGGATTGTGCAATATCCAGAAAATGAAATCTCCTTTGGTGATTTTATGTACTGTTCTGTTTCATTTACATCTGTCTGCTGTGACCTCTGCAGCCCGGTTTACTTCTGTCAATCTGGAGATCAATCAGCAGTACTGTGACGTCGTCCTCAGCTGGGAGGAGATTCCACTGGCTGGCAGAGGAGGATTTCTCAAAGGCTACAAAGTTTATGTCAATAACTTCTCCAATTTCACACTACTTGGTAAGTTTACCTGTTTACTGCCATAGTAAAGTGTTTCATAAAGGGGAAAAATGTATAAAACATTTCTTTTCTCTATTTCTCTTGTTATTTTTGCCATTTAAGTAAACAAATCAGATGGTACATGAAGATGGTAATTTCACTCAATAAAGTAGAATTTTTTGATGATTCGTTTTCTTTTCTGCTTCTTTTCCAACCTGCCATTTTCGTAGCTGATCTGAGCCCCAAAATAAGGACGTACACTGTGAAGGATCTCCCTACCAGCACCTATGAATTCATTGTCAAGGCTTACGGATCCGCCGGCCAGGATACTGTCAGCACTGCTACCATCAGGCTGAAGCAATGTGGTATGTGAATTTCGAATGAAATTGAGTTAATGTATGCTCAAATAAAATAAACATGTATAAATATAAATGTTTTTTTTTTTTTTTTTTTTTTTACTGAAAATATGCTTTGGTGTAGTCCAAGTATAATGTGTGCCTGATAGGTATTTTTCGACAACCTTCGTAAAATGAACCACAGACAGCTTATGTGAGTTTTTACCAAGCTTTCATGAAAGGAGAAGACGCAGCAGACCGCTCCAGCGAGCTGCCCACC